GTAAGTATTGCATAGCAAGTAAACTCAAAATACGTTATATCTCTTGAATGGCAATTTTAGAATATAGAACACTATTAGAAAAGCCATGCTACTATTATTGTTCTATATATGAATTTGGAAACATGCTTGGTTACAACACAACTTAACAATGATATTTAAAACCCGTCTTCTTCACGGGTAAATAATGTAGATGTTATAGTATTATATTATATTCCAGCAAAATACCATTTGTTGATTTATCTAAAAGCTTATTGATTAACTATTAAATTAGGCTGTATGTTTGTTGGAAGATTAGGATAATGAATTATTTATTTATTTATAACAACGTTTGATTCAAGCTGTGTTACACCGCCACGGCCGTCGGTAGTTCGCACGGTTCTGTTGTAATATTTATACATTTTATTTGTACGTTTGCTTAAAATTTTGTCGATTAATTTTAAAAGTTTAAAAGTTGGAGTACAAGTGCTTTTAACATGCTTCATTGCCGTTAGTATAACAGCATTTATATAAAGTCAAAATTGTATCTTTCACGCCTAATGGAAAAAAAATTGAGAAATTATTTTTAGCTGAACCATGTATGATAATCCAGACGATATGGGCTAGGATTTTTCTAAAATTTTGTTTTCGCATTCAAAAATGAACCACAGTACCCTATCAAAACATTTAAAACTTGCAGTATTTTAGGCACTTTTATGTCTTCGAATACGTAATCAATATTGACGCGAGGTTTTAAAATAACCATTTGTTTTTGCCGTACACCACGCCACATGAACATTTCCCATTGATAAACGTCATATTTTCGTTATTTGTGTATTTATTAATGTTCTGATCGTACTTAAATGTCACGGAAACTGTACTGAATCTATTATAAGAAATAAACATGAAATTTGGGACGCCAATGGTTAAGCACAATGTACAAAACATTGAGGATTGGTCAAAGATAATCTCAATAATGTTGAAATTTACCTAAATGTTAATTTTCGTAACGTTTGAATTTTTGTCGGCCGTCTCAAGTCATTTGGGGGCGTTTTCAGATAATTATAAAGATTTTATTTTAAACATCGAATAATTAAATGACGTATTGTCAAATGCGGTTCAGTCTGTGTGTGTTTGAAATGAGATATTATAATTATTGCAATATTATTGTCAATGAAATTCAAAAATCATTTGGTTTTTTTTAAATAATGGGAATCCCGTTTTCAGCGCCTATAATTAAAACATATAATGACTGTTTCATTTGTTTTATTAATTTAAAACTTTACCGTTAAAAACTAAATGGTAAAAATAGAACCACGATAAAGTTATAAAGTTCACTTTCATTAACTAGGTATTACATGCTTTTCCAATTTTTTTTATCTAATTTTAAAAATGATATAGTAGCTATATACATATAAAGATAAAGCGTAAACTTTAAATAATTTATAGGTATGTGCTAAAAGTAAACACTGTAGCTGAATAAATAGTCAGCCATGTTTGTTGGTAAAGACTCTGCCCCCACATAGTGTCTTCAAAGTAATTAATTTCTCTGAGCACTTGCGTAATAAGTGCCTAACTCCTCTTCCAAGTAAATCCTTCGTAAATGATTTTACTATAATCATTTTTTCATTGCGATATTTTTATATTAAAAACACACACACCTTTTTATTTAAGAATTGGTATTAGGGAACTGTATGTCAGGCTTTATGTTATTTGGTAGTAACTCTTGTGCAAAATGAGCGAGCACTAATACAAAAAATTTGATATTGATACTATCCCATTATCTGATAATTTTAGGTGCTCTCAGATATATGCATCATTTTTGCTGAAATCACAGTTTTAAATTCGTTGGGAACGCTAGCAAATATGTTTTCATGCGGAATACATTTCCACGCTACGGTAATCACGTTTTACCTTAAAGTTGGTCTGCAGAGTCGGCTGCATTGATCGCTTCCATCGCTTCAGAACGTCTCAAACAATCCCGGGGCTTCCAACCGAATGACTGCCCAATCCAAACGACGAATTCCGACCTGGAACATATCCGCTTTCACATACCAGCTCCTTGCTAACTGTCGAGCTACTGGTCAGATCTATCTGGGGCTCCACTAGAAATCATTGTATCCGTATATGTTGCTACTCGTAACACACATAGCCATTTAGCCCATCCCCTCTTATACGGCGAAACTAACATGACCCGTACACCAGAGGTACTGGGGCGTACTGGAACTGTGCTCACCAGGCTCACCACCCCAGCCGACGGTTAATACAGTCGACGGCCATCGGTGTGACGCTTCGTACCAAAACTCGATGGCGCGTGACTTTCTTCCCAATAGATAACGAACACATAATATTACATATTATTATAATTAGCCAAAAGTTGTCGAAGTACGTCTACATTACTGTTTAATCGAATCGCGCCGAATACAATTTGATAAAAGGGCAAAGAAAATTACTTAACCACTAAAAGCATTGTAGGGAGATAAGGAATGATTACATACAGTATTATATTGTTCAAGAGAACGCTTATTTGTTGTTGTAACGCGTAAAAACCGAATACAACTCGCTTGACAGCCACGGGCTGACGGAATTTACTTCAAGGTTACAGTGTTTATAATTAATAGGCCAAGTAAGGTTACACAAATAAAGCAAACAGGTCGGTAAAGAAAATATCTACAAAAGTTATAATTTGAAAGCACAAACGCAATATATACGATTATGTATGGGCCATGTAATAGGTATTCATTTTATTATTTGCGGCCAAGTATAAAAATATAGTTTTGGGTATAAAATGTAAAAAAATGCGTTAAGTATCATAATTTCTTATATGTACGCGATTACACGTTATAAATGGAACTATTTAAACGGATATACCGCGTTTATTTTTAATTTCAATTATGATGTTTCGAACCGTATGGAGCGCTCATAGTCACGGGACAGACTGGGGCGTTGCACGTCTGAATGTCATAGTTAACCCGTAGGGCTACCGTAAATTGTTTAAATGATTAATTTTGTGTTCGATCTATGCAGAATGATCTATGTCTCGCAGTAGTGGTTCGAACGAACCTAAGATTAATTTAATTGATGATAAGATCCCGAGCTGATGATAGCAACCGACCTTCTTCTGTATTGAGATTAGGTGTTTTTTTAATGTCAATAGCCCCGTGAATCCTTTAGCAAGGATCTGTGGTTGGAGCGATTTAATGTGTTTTAAGTCAGCTATGTGTTCCTTCACGCGGCTTTTTATTGCTGTTTTGTTTGTCCTGTGTAAGAGAGCTCACATTCGCAGTAAAGCTTGTACATTGCTGGATTTTGCAGAGAAGTCTGTCCTGTGACCACTAACGTAGATAAGGGTTCGAAACGCCTTGAATTAAAATTATAGAAAAATAAACGTTATAAATCCTTAAAAAAAACAGTTTCATTTATAATGCATTAAGTATATTTAATTAAAATGACAAACAAATAGAAATTGATGCAAACTTACTACTACTATGTGTAATGAACATGCTAGAAATATCAGCTCTTGTTGAGAAACTGTAATATTGTAAGGCAAAAGATCCATTTGGAAAAGAGGAAGCCTTCCCGTAAGAGAAGTTATAACCGCCCACAAAGCGGAGGTTTCGAATGTGATATCGATCGTCGCTCGTCCTGACACTGCAGCTATCTACCATACCTTTGAAGTCGCTCAAAAAGAACAAGCCGGATAAGATCCATATAAATGACGGATAGCCGGCTATATTTGAAGGAGCGTCGCCTTCCGTGGGCTCGTATGTGCGCGCGCTCCGGGCTCAGCCCAGCGCGGCTCCTAGGCCCGACCCACGCCTACGTCTATAAATAAAGCCCTTGATGGCGCATTTCCATTGCTCTGCTAATTACGAGCCGCCGAACACTCCCCCTGCTCGCGTTTTGAGGGCGCTCTATGAAATACTGGTGACGTTGGCCGCGATCCTATACACCTGTCAACAGCGCACCCGAATGCGTCGTTTCAGAAAGTACAGCGCTTATTACTTTGTTCTTCGTGTTCTTTTGATGCTTTAATTTACCTGCTGGAAGATAATTGACGTTGCTTGTTTAACCGCTTATATTCAACATTTGCTTATATTACTAATTCGCTGCTGTCCAATTGGTTCATAACATGTGCAATGGTTAATAAAGATGTGGATTGCATTTCATATGGAAATACTAATATATTTATGTATGTCATCCGTTTAATGGGTGTTGTCTCGTAGGTACTAATAACATTCTAAATGCAAAGGTTACTAATTACTTTGCTGTATACTGAACAGTCGTCTCGTATCTAGAAATATCAGATCTAGAGCTAGCTAAATCGATGTTGGCCGAAGTGAGTGGTTCAACGAGTCGGCCAGCGAGAGGCACCTCTTCGACGGGCCCTCGTTCTCACTTGCTTCTAAATTAAACTATGTTTATGGATTTATCGCGTATATTTTTTGTTTTATCTCCTGACATTTCGAACCACGATCATGGTTCTCCGACAACTTGTCTGCTCTCGTGCATGGCATAGAGTTTCACTTCCCGTCCTTTAATACTCTTGTATGTATTAACACATATCAGTAATAAATGGGTCCGTCAAACTTCAAAAGGTTATTATGCGAGCTCCTTTATGTGGTAGAAGTAGATTATGGACGGTATCCAGATAGTGAGTAATAAAAGTACCTATTTAGTTATTTAGAGTTATAACATGAAGCAACTGATCCAGTTTCGGGTTTGATTTTGTTACCGCTTACCATAATTCAACTGTTAATTTAGTACAATATGACGTTAGTCTAATTCTTCTTGCTTATAATTGTTTGTGATGTACAATATATATGATGTTTCGAAAATACTGACATTCCTGATTTTTTGAATACCTAACCAAGTTAAAGAAAAAACGCGTCTCTTTTTTCTTTTCTTTATTCCTATGTATTTAGTCATTTCAGCAACTAAAAATAAGCAATATCTCAGTTTGACAGTTTAGTTGACTAAGTCTTAATCGGTAGAAATTTACGTTTAAGACTTTTAGTCTTCAAATGTTAGTTCGACTTCGCAGGGGAGCACCCCAGGGATCCCCCGCCGTTTCCCCGGAACTACTTCCCCCGCACTTTTTGTGCCAACGTCGTACTCGCAAATGGCGTCTCGCGTACCGTAACAAGATAGAACCGAAAAGGGCAGCGGCGTGCTTCGCAGCGCGGCGCCTCGGTAATTTCCCACTCAGAAGCGGACACTGCCGCCGCGTAACATGTAGCCGCCTGCGACTTTCTCTCCGACAACAGATGCAGTCTTGCTAAAACCAAGCGGCGACTCGCCTTTGGAAAATCACTCGCATAACACGGGCCCGGGGCGAAACGATTTGCTAAGCACTCAGGCTCGATTCTATTTCGCTACTTATTCACAACTTACATAAAATTACTGTGGTAGGACCACGCCGCAGTCTTGGTTGTTGCCCGAATGGCCAGGTTAAAAAGTACCGGTTAAACCACGGGTAACAGCGTATCACTATGTCATGAAGGATGTGCAGTGAACCAAAGCTATTTCTAATGAAATGTGTGCGATTAAATATTCAAGAAGAGATCGGTTTATAAAACTGGTTCCAGAATCTAATAAAAAAGATCCACCGACTCCGGCCCGCATTTCCCTCTAATGATCACAACTAAAAATAAAACACTAAAAACCATAGCGCGGGCAATGGGAGTTCAAAAAAGATACGAAAAACATTAAATTAGATAACGTCATTTTGTGACAAAGCAGCAATATTACATAGCTTACTTGACTTTGTATTTCAATCAAAAATTGAAATCAACCCTAAAAATACTATGCACTTGTAGATACTGACAAGAATATGCCAAATGTCAGTTTTCAGGATAGGAGGGTCTTGATAGAAGCGACCACGTTCCTACAGAATTTTTGATTATTATGAAAGCTTATTTATACTAAACAAACGCGATACGCAATCTTTTCATTCACATGTGCATATTTTAGTCATTGCCTCCATTTGATTTATGACGTGGGCAGTGAGCACGCATACCTTTGTGCGCCGTGACGTTTGCCGATGGCAACTTGATTGTTATTCATTGTTTTATCGCTTCAAAGCGAAGTGTGAGAAATGACGTAAATTCTAATCACTCTTATGTGCATACAAAAAACGATTGTGTCCCATTCTGACTGGACTACGATTTTTAATATTTTATTATAAATCACTGCTCAATTAGTCGCCACCACTCTTACCACTGTGGGCCAAAGGTACATTTAGGTATTCACGATTTACTTACGAGCATAGTCCGTGGCAATAACGGTTACTATTATTTATAATTTAACTTAGATGTATAAAGTGCTAATCCCTGCACTTACATGAAGCAACAAAATTTGTAGAAAAATGGACGAAAAGCTTTTCGTCCACTTTTCTACAAATTTGATGTGTTATTCTCAGACTAAGCTGAAACTTCGTTCATATCAACGAAGTTTTCCTATGCATTTACTGCATCGTAGAAAATATTCACACCGGATGCGTGGAAGTCATTTATAGTAACACATTGTTGGTGTTTATGTTGTTTATGTCTCTATGTCGTATGTCGGCACTCGAGCTCGACCCTGGCGCCCCACTCGCTTTGATAGAAACATTATATACTATCTTCCCATTGTTCTCTCGAACCCTTCGCCTTCATTTGCACTAGCTTAGTCGAATTTACGTATTTATAGTAAGACGGAAAGATTATTTAATTTTTAGTTGGTAGTTCAAATTAGTCAGCGCAGCTGAGAGACTTAAGAGGGCAGGTCGTTAATAAACAATGCAATCAGCGCCCTCTAGGCCGCCCAAGTGAGCCGCGAAGCGGACGTAGGCGGTTGCAGCGAATGAGCAAAGGGCTAACGAGGAATTTAAACGAGACGGAGGGGGACAAAGGGCGTGTAGGTCGCCTCGAGAGGAAGCCACTCGCGGCTGGAAACCTCGCCAAAAGAAACATGTCGGGCGAACCAACCGTCCAGCGTTTTCATACGGAAAAAAGGAACTTGCGCGCAATGCCTCTGCAATTTAATGATGACATCTATTGCGTTTTATCTTGACACGGTGTTTTCTAATTTATTCTAATGTCCCATTTATGGCGTTGAACTGTTTTCTTGTGTTTTAAACTATTTACTGATTATGATTCGACGAAGTATATTTGGAATATAAAGACTTTTACACCAAATAACGAGTTTTTAATTAAATTGAATCAATATTAGTTTCTTTACTAGTGTTGACTTAACGTATCAATATTTAAATTTTCTATATCTAGGTATAGGTGGGTAACTATCCAATTAGCATCAATTATCTTATCGTGCAGAAGTCCGCAAAAGAAACGGTCTTGTTTTGCGTGTAAAGAATTCTTATTAGAGTAACAAATCTTAAATTTATAGCCAAAACAGAATGTAATCAACGTTTTAAGCAACTTAAACATTTTCAACGTCATCTTTATAAACGTATTCTCTTCTAATTGAATTCTTTCCATTGAAAAATAATGAGCGAAGTTCAATTCATTACTGGCCCACAATACCATTTAGTGGAATTTATTTGTATGAATATTTTCTTAAAAGAATTCATGCATAAATAAAACGTCGACGTTAATATTTCGCTCACGTATTTGGTTTCTTGTTTCAAATTCAAACGTTGCGTACCATTTCGCATAATACTGGATGGCAAAACTGAGAATGCCTTATGCAATACGTCAAAGTTTGTAAAATAGAATAAAGTCTAAAAAAAAATGGAATCACGGCTAGCGTGCGAATTCTTCACGGTATCGGCATTGTTAATTATTGAATTGCCAATCAAATATTAACGAATGAAAATTTGTCCGTTCGCGGCGCATGGGCGATGCGGCGTACCGAACATTTTCATTTATTAGCGACGCGCTGCAACCGAGCCCCGCTCTGCCGACTCGAATGCACAAAACCCATTCGCTTTTATCTCGTTAACTTTGCAGCGCAACGCTTTCTGAACCCTACTCCGCTTTGCGTAAAATCTAAAATCAAACGCAGATGGAATTCTATTCTGCGGCCAACATTTGTATACGCTCCTGAAATGCCTCAGGCGATATTTGAGTATATTACTTAAATTGAGAGTAGAAAATCGTTTGGACGTAGTTGCAGAGGGGTCACGAATTCGACGTAAGGCGAAATCGAGCCTATTATAACTAACGGAGAGTAGATTTTAGGAAGGACGGTGGCAGATATGGTTTTTATGGTGGTCGAACAATCAGCTGTTTGGGCACGCAGCGGCCCCCTGGGAGCATGACGTCAGACGCTCCCTGCTTCGGCGACACGCACGCGCTCACACTGTCTGGCTTAACTCTCTAAAACGAACTGTCCACGAGAATTGTTTATATTTAAGAGATATAGAAATACTTTTTCAATACGTACCAAGGTTTTTAAGTTGAAAGAAAACGGTCGCGGTTTACTAATGTATGTTCGCAAAAAGTGCTGACATTACATTTTTTACTAGTTTTAAACTGCATGCTCATTGTTCACGCCAGAAAACGAAACCAGTAATGATATGCATGTGAGCGAGATCTTTAAGCAGAACCAACGTCGTGAATCGACATTTTAACTGTTTACAACACAATGCAAGAACTTTGATATTTGTTCGCTTCCTACTTTATCACCGTAAATACCCAAGATGGCATTTAGGACAGTCAATCGAAATGCTGATGGAAAATCACTCATATTAAGGAAAATATTATGACTTTAATATGTAACGTTACTTATGTTCTTATAATGTATCCAATCGGAGATACTCTTTATGTTTTAACGTCTAATTTACGAAAGTGCACACGCTTATTTTTTTTTTTAGAAATTATCCCAATTATTATGTTTTTGGCACAAAACAAAAGTTTTACACTTTATTTTAATAATTGTACCTAATTTTTATAGATTATAGAACATCATGATTCAGATTACCTATATGAACGTGGTAGGGCTACGCAGCAGTGTTAGCTGTCGCACTAATGTGCGGGCCGTCCGGGGAAGTATCACCACCTCACAGAACATCGGCGTGAAGTGGACGTATTATACTTCTACTTTTAGTCTGGCGAATCATTTTTATTTTTATTTATTTATTTATTACAATTACGCACACAACTATGATGAACTAAAGCCTACTTTATTGAATGGTGGCAACGCATTTAAAACCATACCGGTGTTTCAAATGTCCATGGGCGGCGGTTATCACTTAACATCAGGTGAACCGCTCGCTGGCTTGCCGTCTACTTACATGAGAAAAGTAACTATTTTGTGACATTATATTATTTAAACATTGTATCTGTATACATATATACGTATGTCGCGGTGGTAAAGACACGCTGTATATTACATTTCTGAGTGTCAATCCATTTCAGACTACTAAGTGCTCCAAACTTAATGTATTAGATTTGCTTCGAAATCCTTTTTTAAATTTTAAACTTTTATAGAACCTATTTTATTCTACAAAGCCTTTAATAAATCAATCAATCTTCATAGCATAGGCAAGCTTACCGAAATTGCATAACAATTATGTAATGATTCTTATTGTATTGTGTTCTTAAATCTTGTATCGGTCAAAAGAAAAAAAAAAACCGAGGTTTACGCAGAATGAACACGCCTATAGACTCCCTATACGAATGTGAATTTGAACCTCAGTGCATTAAAGGGCATTAAAGGCATCGCAACGCGCCCTTTGAGTTCGACGTGGTGTGAATGATTCAGCCTTTGAATAAATTGCTCATGTAGGTATAGAGCAAAAGCGCGCTTGCGTCCACTTCCACCGGAATCGCGTCGTCTGCGATTAACATAAAACAAGCGAACAGTTTTACCGTTCACGAACAGTTCACATGTAATGACCACTTTGTTTTGTGTTAATAATATATTGCCATGATTATGTTACTCTGTTCAGACGTAATATGGGTGCGTACACAATTTCGGTATTCACACGAAGGTGCTTCACCCATGCTGGTATATTCTCTTGTACCTACTCTCGCTTTCGGTCTTAATTGCCGAATAAATGTTCTTGTTTTAATGTAACAGACTCATTAGTACTTGATCGCGTAAACTTTAGAACAAAAAACGCATTTTAATAATTGATCCGTTCGTTTAAATTGTATGATGCCCCAGACAGACACAGAAACACAGACCTTCTCGTCAACCTTATAGCACTCCTCTCTTTACTTTTCTCTTTTCTCTTTTAATAGATAAACACAAGGACAGATTTGTAAATCTCTTTGGTAGATTGAGGATTTCGTTCAAGACTGTACAGACTTTAGGTCGGAGTACGCGAGGACCTTGGGTGCCTTCTCTATTGGTGTGCATCGACTGCGCTTCTTGGTAACTGTCCCGGGGAGCAGAGCGCCGGCTCGCTTCTGCAGTGGACCCGGCCTTCGAGCCGTCATCCCTTATCCGTAGGAAGTGATCCATCAGGACCTTATCTCGCAGGAAGTCGGGGTTAGGCAGGCGCGTCACAGAATAAATCCTAGCAAGCCCTGTCACAATAAATCTAATCTAATGCCATCGCGGTAAGGCTGTGAATTGCCTGTCAATTATTATTGTGCCCATTTTTATAAAAACGTTCTTACAAACATTTTTATACAAAAAACATTTAATAACAAGAATAATTTCTATGTTGCGGTTATTCTATTCTTTATGTTTATTTTGAAGGGAATTGGTAGCATCAAATTGAAATGGTTTCTATTTCACCTTAAAAATTTTCAACAAATAACATGAAATAATAGTTGTTGTTTGAAGTGCTTGAGGAAGAGCTCTATTAGTGAAGGAAGCAGTAGGGGGATTCGCGATTTCAAGTGACATTTATGCTATTCGACAAACAATGTTATTTTTTGAATACATTATATTTATTAAATGGTTGCTTTAGACACAATTATAATGACTGCCAATGTTTTCAAAAACAAGGGCTTTATGCGAACATTTACGAATTAAATGACAAGAACATTTGGGGGGTAAAATTGGAGTATTGGACACAAGTACAAGGTTAGTTTGTTGAATATATTTTAACTTGGCGTCATTTTCATTAGCGTCCCGTAGTATGTTGTTCGCTAGGAAGCACTAAAAGAAACGATAAAAGAAAAGGACAACACACAGCGCGGCTACTAACATGCCATCGTTAGAACGCCCGAGTCGACCGATCTTCTGAGTATGTGTGAATACTCCTATATGCGATCGTATAATGCGACAACGCAAATATGATTGCACCTAACTACCGGAGCGCGACGTCTTGACATGATCCCATTTATCATCTCGTCGACTCACTATTGAAATGTCATTTCACTCACTTCCATTCGTGTCTCGGTAGGACCAAGTGTTTTCTTACAAACATAATTTTATCTTGATTGCATTCCGTATTTATAGCAATGAGAATTAATTAACATTTCCTGACGCATAGCGATTATCACTGGCCTTGATCTCCTTTAGAGTTAAGTTTACTTATTAAAAAATGATCAATATAATATTTAATATGGATATAAATCAATATATAAACTACAATGATGTCGCAGTTGTTCATATGTTTAGTTGTTGTATTATAATTATTGGTTTATTAAAATATGGCGTAGCGTAGTGTTCTACTTGAAGATGTCACTTTATACCAAACGCTAGATATGTTGGCCGCCCTGAGAGAGCATCTGGTTGAGTCGTTACTTCATTATTTAGTGAGTAGGGACCCCGGGGAGTTATATAGCTAATATTGCAGGCGGTCTCTGTCGCGTATGTTTTCAATCCAATTTGGCTGGTAACTTATCGTGAGATCGGACGCCAGTAATGGGCATCCTCATGTGCAGTATCAGAAAAGTAATATCCACCCCAATACTTATCCCTAAACATAAGAGCGAAGTTATCTAAAGCTTAAATGATACTTCTTAATTTTTTATCGAAAGTCCCGATGCTGGCACAATAGCCGCGTCCTTGCAAAGTGGTCCCAAAGGCATTGAGTTAAGAGCGTGCGTCGCCTGAGGGCGGGGCATTGTGTCGTGCCACGCTGAGCTTTCTATCACCATCCGCCGACCGTCCATTGTATGGAGATTACGCGGCAAAGAGTAAGCGAAGCTGAAGGCGAAGGCGCGCCTCTTCATTTTAATCATTCTTTCCGACTATCGACGTTGTCATTTATTAAACACCAACCACCCGCCCCGGCTTCGCTCGGGTGCAATGTGTTATACATATAAACTTTCCTCTTGAATCACTTATTTTAAAAAAAACTAAGCATACATAAGGACAGATAGACAACGGGAGGATTTGTATGTAGTGAAGTTTAAGTCACTTGGTTCCCCTCACAAAGCAACTGTGTGTTTCATAGTGTAGTTAATGATGTGTTCTAGTCCCACTGGCGAGCTTCTATGTTTTTTTTAATGTGACAAAGTGGCAAACGAGCTGGCGGTTCACCTGATGTTAAGTGATAACCGCCGCCCATGGACATTTACAACACCCGCAGCTTTAAATAAAGTGGGCCCGGGTACCTCACTCACCAGACGAAACGCAGAAGTGTAACATTTCTTCTTTACACCGGCCCTCTGTGAGGTCGTAGTACTTACCCGGACGGAGCTGCCCATCCGTGCAACAGTGAACACCATTGCGTGGCCCTACCACAGTTGGAGAGTATTCCGTTTAAAGCACGAAAATCGGCTATACCATGATAAGGCACACCAGGTGTTACTAATTATAAGGCCGTTGAAACTTGTATTAATTCGTTATAGTTATTTCTTTTCAATCCAGTAACGTGAAAGATACGACTATAAATGGTATACCGACCTAACATTACTATGTTTAATTCAGACAACGGAAAACGCATATTCTAAAACGAAATTACACTAGACGAGGGAGTGACGTTTTAAACTCGTATGACAAAGACCGAGACACCAAATTTGCCTTTCGACTTTGGTCTCGAACATATTTACATATTTTTACATACATAACAGTTACGACTTGAAGAGTATTTAATTCAAAACGATATAAGATTGCACTACAATATAATTATGTGTACTTGTTTGTATGACATTTCATCATCTTTGTTAATTTATTTATCGTGTTTATTTATACTACTTTTATGTGTTAATATCAGAATTTTTTATACATATTATTAAATAGTAGTTTTTTCATACACTTGACCGACCTAAACATAAAAGTTGTATAAAATTACGTACAAAAAAAAGATTATGTTAATCCACAGTTGATGCTTTCTCCGGTTCAAGTATCATGTCACCATTCCTCATGGAGTAAACGCCATAGAACGATTTAATAGTTTTATTATTCTCGAAGGAACCTATGCAAATGACCCTTGCATCTTGAAATAGCCCCTTAGAGTATCCATGCTCATAGGCACATAAGCAAAAGTTACGCCACGCCTGCATTGTGTCTGCTCTTGGGTTGCACGTTAGATGTGCGCCGGCGATTGCGCTGAGGCCACAGTTTCGCAGCGCAACCGATGACGTCATAGCGCTGACTTGTTGGTGACCCTTAGGCTATAGAGGAAGTCTATCTTGAGCTCTTTGATTGATGATACCTAAGGTAATTTGTTTGCATTGCAGTTGATAAACCGAATTTCAAACTACAGAGTATTAATAGTGTATGTATGCGTCAACGATGATTTGTAGGTGGTGTTGATTGTGGTGAACCTGTATCTAGTATTAACCCTTCAATTTTTGGCTATGTGTTAAACCTGCCGACGAGCACCGGGCATAAAATTAATTGGTGTATTAATCATTACGTATTTTCAAAAATTACCTTAAGCTGTTCATAATAAACAAACAAATTGCTTCTATCCAAATTCATCCAATTTGGCGCACAATATTCAAATCACTTACCTTCTTTCTCCAATTATTAAAACTATTTTTACGCAAGCAAAGTTTCAAAACTCGCGGGTTTTACAAAGAACCCGTAGAAACATTGCAAATTACCACAGACCTGTAAATCATGCCAAACTTAATGGCGTTTTTGCACTCTCCGCACCTCTCTCTCATTATAAGCCACTGCAGGATTTGGATCTTTCTAGTAAACGCCATAAGATTCGATCTTGCGATTATAGTCTCCAGTTGCCAGCAATGTTACATAAGTTATCACTGCACCGGGCAGGGCGTCCTAATGTTAATTTGCCTAAACGCGTTCTCCACTAAAGAACTCGTCTGCTCCATCGGCTGTCGGTTCTGCGAGAACTTCAGCTTACTTGCCCTGATAGCTATCTCGATAACCTTGGCTCTCTGTCGTATTACCTCATATTGCGCTCAGTCGCTTCATAAGGGGCTTACTGAACAATATTTGACATTTATTAATGGCCCAATATCTTGTGGTTTGGATTTTATATATACTTGCACGCTCTTAGAATTATCGAGTTGACTGTACCAGTGCGAAGCTTCAGTCGCAGCTCACTTGTAAGCAGCCCGTAATTCTGGCGTTTCCTGCCCAAGCCATTTACGTTCTCTTACAAGACTGCCCCAGATTCAAGAACACACTAATAAATTTCCAAATTAACACTACCTATGATTTGCAAGCCCAATCTTATTTACTAGACAGGATAATTTAAAAAGGAACCACTGTATGTAAATACTTTTACAATACTCGTTAAATATAGCTAAAATCTCTTTTAGTATCAGACATAATAATAGGTATCTTAATGTTACAAATATTAATATTAATATTCGCAACTTTGGCAATTGCCGTCGGGATATACTGTGAAGAATGCACTATGAAGGAGGTCCTGGGAATAATTTAAAAACTTTTAGCTATCCAATGCACCAAATTTTTCTCTTCAAGTGCCTTTGCCGGCCATGGTACCTAATTCTCGTTACGTAAGAAGAGAACGGAATTAGAAAAACCCTATAAAGTTTTACAAGCTGTAATTTAAGTCCAAACTGGCGGGATATAAAAACTTTCGAAATTATACCGTATAATTTACAAAGTTTCTACTAGCCGAGTAAAGTTGTCTTATGTAGGATTTGCTCATTAAAGTAGGATAATTTAGTTAAAGTTGCAGCTATAAATATGTTTGTTTCGTTAATTGGGGCCAAGTTAATGATACCATCAGTTGCGTTGGCTATCATAAATGATTAAGCGTTCTTCTTGGTGGCCAATTACTGGCTTTACATATTATCCAAAGAATTGAGTCAGGAAAATGGCTTTTATTGTTTTTATTTTATTTTATAGAACACCAAACAGCACAATAATCTTAACAATAAACTGAATAAAAGCAAAGTATACATATTGTCCGCCACAAATATATATGTACAGTCCATGCATCGACATCATGAAACAATATGAAATTATAAAAAACAACGTACGCATTGGTAGCGCCTTTTGCAATGTTTGTGACCATGCGTCCGTGTGGCCTCTCAACGCCAGTCCGTTCGTTAGAAGTATCACTCCACTAGTTTGTCTTAAGCGGTGCTTCTGGGCGTAACTTCTCACTCGAGTCGCGCTGGCCACGCCACAATTGAGGACGATTCTCGACATGTAGTGGCTGCAGTACAGAATATCAGTTAATGTTTCCTCGAACAGCGAAGCTATATTTAGCTAGTTTATAGTACTTGAAAAACAATCTTAACAATGTTCTTTTCACTATCTAATCGCATAAAATATGAAAAAAGCGATGTAAAGTGATGACACAATTTCAAGCAATTGGAAGTTTTTGGCACGTTCAGTATAGAATATATTAATAAGGCTTTGAGATGTTTGCAAATTTTCCACGATATTGTTCGGCGCCAGTTATGTATCACATATTACATACAACGTGGAGACCGTCGCCTCTTATGGGCGTAGTACGGACAAGGTGCGAACTGTTATTTTGATTATATGAAGTTTTGCCAGTAGCGCGGTGTACCTTCGCAGTCTACGGCCTGACTCTACGGGTTCTAGGGAAGGCGCTGCGCCCTTGAACCCGCGGCAGCACTCCTCACCTACCATTGGGTGAGACTGGTGCCCTTTGCCATTTTTTGTAATAAAAATGTAAATAAATGATGGAACCGTTTTGTGTGTTGGTGTGTTCGTACATTGTATCAACGTTTCGTGCCACCAATTGCGCAGTGAACGGAAGCTTCGGAAAGTTCGTAACTTGGTGCGCAACCTGCTAACAAAGTAGCACCCGCGGGGTCGCACTCGAATACGGCGATCGCTGTTGGTGTGTCCGTTGGATCACGTCGAACGATTTACGCCGCGTGCTCCCTCCGCCCCTGTAACGTACAATTACTCAAAACGACCCGCACTACAGATAATTGTTACTGATTTCAACATTTATATTATAATTAACGTTACACGAAGCGAAGCGATCGCTCCGGTTGCATCGTTTATGTGTTGATATGGTCGATGCTTTAAACAATTCGTGTTACACCTGACTATATTAATTAGAGTTATATTACTATTGCGATTTAATAATAAGTGTAAGCGGCAGAAGAGTGGTTTTGTAGTTCAGGATCCGGCTAAATAGAACCTTGAATATAGTGTTAAGTTTACTAGAAATATTTTTAAGACGTTTTTTGAAGACCAATATACCATTAGATATGGATTAGATAATAACGACTCAAATTTCGATCCCCTTTTTGTGCCGTGGCGTGCCCTAACTAAGCAACTATTAGCGTTTTACCAAATTATTATTCTTCAGTTTCAATGCTTTTTCCCGTACAAGATAAACAAGATATATATTTTCTAGCGTTAAATACTGACCCACGTAGGGCACAATATTTTAAGACATGTTAAAATCAAGTCTCCCTTCAAATTTAAACAACGCTAATCATCCTATATTTTTATTAAAAATACATAAATTTGTATATTAATTATTATTTGTAATCTTAATAGTTTTCCGCGATCTTTCAAAACAGACATGTTAATTTATAGAACGTGATTTCTTTCTTCACCACTAGATTACTTTCCAATGTCTAGAAGCGGTGACACATTAGGGGATCTTTTCTTTTCCGGGTTGCTAGTGCACTAATTCGGTCAGTCCATTTCCTCCAATACTCTATTGTTCCCGCGTTTGCAAACTCCTCTCAGTTTGGAGAGTTGAGAAACAAGCGGCAAAGTTTCGAGTGCTGGGAAACTGCGTTTCGCGTCAACTGTCCTAATTTGTGCCTTCATTTTTGTACATTAGTAAATTTTTTGTAAATGTATAAAACCTGTACATTTTTATATATTTGGTATTATTTATTATATATAATTAAATATATGAAATATTTGCTGTCCTCGTGACAACGTAAGTGTTTGAAATTATATATTTGTTAGTAATGTAGAGATATCTTCACTTCGCGTGTTTGCCATGCTCGATTCTATGTATGTTCATTTCGTGGCCGTTGTATTGTGGCATTGTTGAAGCCGGATAGGCTTAAGCATCGCCGCGACAGCAATTGTTTTAGTTGGATACGTTCGTGGAATAAATATGAAATTCCAAATGAATCCGATTGAATAGCGGAGGAGCCATTAGGCGGATATTCAATCACGATGCAAACATGAACAGTGGCGGAATATCAATCGGCGACGACGCTCGGCGCCCCACGGATGGCTCCGCGGACGAAAAAGTACGCCGACTCATTTTGATCTGTCTCAGTGGCACAACTCTCGGATTTATTTTGGGGTTTGCGAGTTAATTAAGTTCGAGCGTCCCACGAATATTCACTATGTATAAACGTCTTCCAGTTGTAACCACTCCATTTGATCGGCATAAAAAGATTTATGTTTCTTCACAACAAGTTGTGTGTGTTTTTGCCAATCATGAAACTCCTATCAGGTTCCACTGAAGGCTTGCGGATAACGTCGACCATACAATTATTTCAGTTTGATTTTATTAAATATTATCAGCCTGTGTTGTCCCACGGCACGGTTGTATGTTTAAGTTGATATAGCTCATGACTCTTCAACCAAGTTGTATCGTCCCCCCAGCTTCATTTCAATTTTACAGTTGATGCTCTGACCAATGTCAGAGATTTGAGATTTTTAGTTACTCCTTAGACACTCATGCCATCTATTGCACGTTTGTATATACTTGCCGATGCTTAATGACCATAGTTGCGCTGGTAGGCGAAGGGAACTCAGGCTTGCCCGTCGGCTCACGTAAAAAATTCAAAGGATTTTTAAACTCGTAAAGATATACTATTTGCTATCACCGGTATGCTTCTTATCAGACAAAAAATGTTTCGTGTTCTCAACATTGACGTTCGTGTATTTCGGCGTGCTGTTATGGTTCCCGTTATAGGTTCTAATACTTTCACAATTTATCAACTTAAACTATCGTGGTAGCTATATACCATAAAAGAATTTGGTGGAAGCTATTTATTTTTGATATGCTAAGGTGGATACCGAGTAGGCGCTTCGCGTAAAGTTAAGTGAGTAAATACCATAGCCCAGAGACATTCCACGTTTGTTGAATTGTACGCTTCTACGATCGCCGCTAACCTTTGCAAGTGTAGGTCCTGGCTACCTCGTTCACCACGCGAAGCGTGTGCAAATGTATAATACTAGTACGCCACGCTAGTCTTATGTGCATCTTATGGCATGAAGGATGAACCTGTCAATTTGCGAAACTACGTTGTAACCCTAGAACTTCATATAATAAGCAAACCGAGTGAGAGCACATCTCATATAGATTTAGATTTATTTTGATGCTAGAGCTACATCAAACACTCAACGCCGGCCGTAACGTTGCGATAAAATTTTAATTAAACGCGCCGCATTACTCCTGGGCCAGATCAGTCGCTTCGTCCTACCATTTGTTTTTTTTTTTTTATTTTACGCCCTTTCAATTCCTTTATAGGTGGGCACTAAAATTATTTATGGTCGAAATTTACGTTTAAAATAAAACATATTGGCGTGATTAAAATATGTTTTTGCGTAGGTATAAATATTCTTAGCCGTTAGTGATAATAACAAGAAGGCTGGGTCTTATCATGTTCAAAGGTTATTAGTAAAACTATTATTGGCTATTTGCTGTGAGGAGTACGACTTTTTAATAATATCAGTTATAAAAAGTAAACACAAGCAAAAGTAGTGTTTTTTAAAAGACAAAAAATGTTAAAAAGAGAAAAGAGTCATTTATTTATTTATTTATTAAGGTACACCAACAGCATAACATATACTTACATTTATATAATTTTATACATATACATTTTTAGTTACAGATTTTAAGTAATGATACAGTTTAAGTAATGATTTGATTATCTGAAATTTTAATTAAAGTGATTTCTAATGTATATTATGTCTAGCTCGAACTCAGCCTTTGTTCTTGTGTCCCATTCCGCTTTGGCTGACAATCAAATTCAATTACGCTCATTATTGCATGGACCTACGCGAATATGTCTTTAATGAAATGCATAAGTGTGCAATTTTACTAGATCAACACATCGTCATAATACTCAAACCGTCACTTACATTTGTATGCCACATCTACAAACCGCATTTGCCGTCAAAAGACAAAGGACGTGATTCTTATTCTCTAAGCAATAAAAAACACATTTGTTCAAAGCCAATTTGTTAGAGTACGCGTTGAGTCGATGTAGCTTGGTCCTTTCTGCGCATGTGCTTTGAACCCGGAGTGACACCTGCGACCTTCGCCACGTCACGTCTGTTCCCTTTCTACGTCGGATAGGAGACGACGTCTCGATATAAATGTCGCGAATGAAAGGAGGACTTAAACGAACCTCCATATTCTCGTTGGGGCCATCTTACTGATCGGCTTTTATAGGTTTGCCGTGTGTGCCAAAGATAACTAATTAACTCACCTATTAAGTTGAATTATTAATGCGATGTAAATATACCGGCCAAGGCGATCTAGCTGCCCGATGATGTAGTTGCAAAGCGAATCGATAAATGCCAGAGTTTCGTTTTAATAACGTTCAAGTATTACACGCAATTGCGTTTCGATGTCTCAACAAAACGCCTAATGTCGGGCTGCCGATGTTTGTAACGTCGAAAAGGGCCCTCATTTAAAACACTTTGAAAGTTTACCGTGCTTCTTCTATCGTAAATTTCATTCAATATGAAATGTAATGACGACAACGCGTTCCACGGTCGAGTGCAATGTCCTCCCTGGTGTAATATTCATGGAACGTGAATTCAATACGGCATTGCCAAATATGAAAAAATCGCGAACGCGTTCATGAGGGCCCTCCTATTTACTCCGCTAAGTTCCAATATTGAGGTACGATTTCGAACGCGTGGAGCCCTCTTCACTGCGATAAAGCGTTCATGGTATTTTAAAAAGTCCAAATTGTTTAGGAGGAGGCAACTGGCTACGGATTCAGTAATAAGTATTAAATCCTTTATTTTCCTGTTCCAAAAATTTCACGTTCACTTTACACTGATATCATAAATACCAATTAGCCATTAAGTCTTAATCTTAACTACATTGTTAAGATTAAGACTATAATAACTAATTAGTATTGGTATTTGTTTAACGGACAAATGACTACTTACGCAGCTGTAATAATAGATTAGACTATTTTCATCTCTTTGATTTATGTGTTTAATAAAAGGTAACTGGGAAACGGCCAAACTCCACGATATATTAGTAACAGTCGCCTTAAATCCCGATGGTTGGACCACGTTGAGATCTCCTACTCGTTAGAGCTCTCCACAGTACATTTCGCATCGCCGCTCCTTAACACTTACACTATTGCCCCCTTATTTGAGTTGGCGTAATGTTTGACGCCTAATTTAATACTTTCTACGGTTTTTTTATTGTTAAAATTTAGGGAGTTTACGGTTTTTAATATGTTGCATAGCAAAGGACTATTATTATATTGTACAAAGTTCCCAAATGAAACTTCGTGACGCGTAACACTATGTTTTCAAAGCCAAACAAATAAATGCTTTGAATTCGGGATTGGAAATTGGAATAAAGGTTTGTTATTCGATTTTATGATATTTCCATTGTAATTAGAGCGCTACACATTTAGTTTACTATAATTTTAGTGGTCCACAGAAATGTCGGGTTAATTGAAGGGGATTGATTGTTCGTTTTCTTCTTTTACGCTAATATTGTATGTACAATTCAAATCCGTAAAATAGTTTCGTTTAATATGGGATTATTTCATTTCGTTCAAACGCACAATGGAGCACCTTGCAGGCACGCGGCCCACGGTGTCTGTATAAATTTGAATTGATTGTAAATTCAATTGTATTTATAATACTCTTGCTCGGCCCATGGCGGCTGGGCGCGGCTGAGATTTATTGTTAATTAACATTTTATTCAAATAGACGCAGTTTATGGCAACCCCACTACACCTTGTGAGCGGTTCGTGTTACGATTCTAAAGAGAATTCAGTTCGTAAAAGGAATTACGTAATAAACTAATCTTAAAAATGACTGTTCTGTAAGGTTTCCTGTAGCGTTCCCCTTTAGGGAAGTTAACGATCTTGAACTGCGCTCAAAACTTTGGTACGATTCGTCGCGGACTATCCTTCTATCATACTTTAATTTGGACCAGTTAGGTAGTAACTATCCTAGTAAAATGATTGCTCTTTGAGAAAATTACCTGTTAATTGTTTATTTTCCTAAATGGAGTATACCATTCATTGGCCATTCATTGTATAATGAATGGCCAATACTAAACTGGGTGTTATATTGAATAATAAAAATAAAAAACTGTACTTTTTTTCATTAAGTATTCTATGCCGCGAACTTATCAGCCCCTCGTGCCTACATTATATCTAAAATATTGTTTCATTCAAACTTCGGTAACAGATTTTTGACTCACACTCGTAATGTTTGCAAAAGTCGTCCGTTTGTTTGGTTATCGACACAAGTCCCTGCGGTGCTTGACCAATGTGTATTGTGGAATGTTATATGCTCATAGAATAACCCGTTTGGTTATCAACGGAACCAATCGATTATTGACACACTTCAATTTTTTTCCTCACTCCTATTCCATTTAAAGTGGAGCTCAAATCGTTTTCACGTCCCCACGCATGAGCAGGGAGATAAAATTCTCCCATATCGGGATTCGATTAAAAGAAGCAAAAAGTGTACAGTCGTATAGTCGGGACAGTGTTGCGACAGAGACGGCTGCATCGCGCGTCCCGCTCGCTCCGTACGCAGCCGGGGCGCACTCGGCCGGCCGTCCCGGCTCCCGCTACAACATGCAACTGACGAACCTTCCGGCACCGTGCGCCTGCGAGCTCGGCTCCTGTTGACAGCAAACATCATATCCTTCTAAGCCCACTAGACTCCTCTGGTTTTAACTTTTTGGAAGTAACCTCGTTATTTCTCTCTTGCAAATTGCGCATTGTTCACCCACCGCTATATCAACACGGCGAGAACGGTGAAATTTAAAGGAGGGGCTACTTCTCTACCCCAACGTATGTTGCGACGCATTAAACATCATTATAGACATTTAAATTTTTATAGTGCTAATCTCTGTACATAACATTAAACATTAAAATTTGTAGAAAAAGTACGAAAAGATTGTCGCGTTTTTATACTTTCGTACTTTTTCGTACACTATAAAAAATATTTATAAAAAGCAATGGCGACGTCTCTCGTTTGAATTATCATTGTAAAAACGATATCCGAAATTATTTGTATGCTGGAAAAGATATAACAATGGATGCGCCAAGCATTGCTTCAAATGCTAAAAACAATGTAGATAAAAGACGTTAAGATTTTCGTCGGTGTGGCAAAAAAGTGGGTTCGATTCCCACGGCATCATTTCGTAATATTTCTACAAATTTTAATCATTATAGACGAATAAATTTTTAGAATGAAATACTTTGAAACTTGCGATACAAAAAAGATATTGTTGCTATGACAAATCAAAGCAGTTAATTTTTGCAAACTGTTTCTTTTATTGAATTGAATTAGTGAAAAAAACAGGGAATAAAAAAATGGAGTGGATCAGAAAGAGCTAACTTCTAACGCTATAATGTTAGAGACGTTTGTCCTAGCGATGCGTTCTGTAAAACGCCACAGACTGATGGGCAATGGGCGTGCGCGTTTATTCCCGTCGAGCAAAAAAAGCAAGGAGGCCGCCATGCGAACATGTGGCAAATTCAATTACACACATTAAGTTTCCTTTATTTATTTTTAAACGGAGGCGCCGGCCGCCATCGCGGGCGCTGGCAATAAAGGAGCAATTTAGAGTGACGCCATCTTGGCCGCCGCGCCGGCCTCCCTCTAATAGGCCATCATAAAGCCTGCTCCGCAGCGGCACATTTTTCACCCGGAGCAATAACACACGCACTGTTCAGCTGCAACAACATACAATAATTTATGCACGTTTGCTACTGTGTTCAACGCGAAATAGGCAGCCGTTACAGGCATGCATAAAAATCACCACAATAGTTTCTCAACATCGTTTCTCAATATGATTGTGTCAAAAAGACTTTAGTGAACTTGCGCAGCTTGTCGATGATCGCTTTATTTTGTTACTATTTTATTATGAGACTGCGGTTGGTATCTCATGGAAGGACAGACGTCGACATGCCACCTTTATACTGCATGTCCTTTGAAGCCATTTTTGCCGAAGCCCGTTTGTATTCTATGGTCGCCATGTAGCCCAGAGCTTCTTGAGAAAAATAAAAACTTAATAAACTTTACTTACTAAGACTAGCAATTAACAAAATCTCGAATTACTTTCTCCTCCTACATTGCGTTAAATGATTTGTTCAATATTCGTTCGATAACACATTATACAGGCTTGCTACAACTTAGACACGACTGTACTCTTCTCTATGCTTGTAAGTATAAGCTTGTTAGGGCGTTTTTCATTTCGGTTCGACATTACCTATCTGATTCGCAAATATAAAGTAGGTAATTTTCAGTATTTTTTAACTATCAATATTTTATAACCGCCACCGTCTATACTTTATCTTTATTAGCTTTAACTGCGATCAATTAATACTAAATTGTATATTGGTCTTATTTATTCGACCAGAGCATGTCTGCTCTTTCTCATTAAGCGGAAACACTGCATCCACAAGAAACAGAATAAAGGATGCAGATATCCTAATCGTTGGCTTACTTTGACGGTGTCAATATAATAATAAACATGAACTGCTTGTAATGCACGGAGGCACGTTCACGTCGTTAGCGTTGTGTTTTTGTTTTCAATCATTGGAAATATTTAAAGGTTGGTCGGCCCCAGGATTGGGCAAAATGGTATTCGCGCGATGGATAATCCTCACAGAGGAGGTCACAACTAGATGCATGTTACGAGCCCTGGCTGTGTGGCGTGTGGCGTGTGGCGTGTGGCGCACGGAGGCGAGCGGTCGGCCGTGAGTCAGGCCGGGGCGCGTCGCTCGGCCCCCATTGGTGCCTCCTGACTCATTGCTTGTGTTACGCGGCGTTACGGCTGCACTCTTGCGCGGCGTTCATGCTAACAACATTGCCCACTGACAAAACTGTGGGTGTTCTACTATACGTTAGTCTTTTGCTTGCGTTTCATGTGCATTGCAGTAGATTGCTAACGTACTTTTGTACTGCATCCATTTTGAAGTCGTGACTCACTTGGACAATTCAAACGCCCAACATGACCGATCTTCCTTCTTCATATGAGTTAAAAGCCTATCAATGCGCAGGCTCCTCCGGGGCAGTTATCACGGCATTAAAAATGGTTTGAAGAGTCCAAGGGTAGAAATGCTGGAGCAACTGGAACTGGAACAACAGGTGAACTAAATGTTTCTAAATTGAACTATTATTTAAATGAAGGTTCTAACATAAAACGGTTATAAGAAAATCAATTGGACAAAAAAAATAAGCTTTGAAGCCGGTTACCGTGTAACCGGTTGGGTTGCGAACTGGTTCGCGTGTCTTGTTTCAATAACCCATCACTGGGGAACGCAGATGTCACCATTAATTTCGTAACTTTCATGTAACTCGTTATCGTATTGACGTTTGCTTTATTCTCTTTTACTTTTATCAAATCATCATACGTTGGCAAATTCGGGGTTTGTAAGTACATTGCCGAGCTAACCGATAACGAACACTAGATCACAGAATTATTCCCTAATCGAATGCCTAGTCTCAGTAAACATTTTAGTTTTCGTGTGGTTTCAGGAAGCGAAAACTTGCATATGTGTGTACAAACGAGTACTGGGTGGCATACGCAAAGGTGCAACTGCGGTGTCGGTCGTAAATTGTAATCGATCGTTTAATTTTCAAATTAAATATAGTTATGTAATCGACGTTATCCTAACTTTTAATGACACATTATTATTTTGTTAACGGCTATATATTGTGTATATATATATTTTACTTATGATATATATTGTGGCCCGTAAATACGAGTAGCATCGGGAACACGATCCAACTTTCCAGTGTAACGGACTTAAATAGATAAAGTATTAGGCAATGAACAGTGACGAGCAGTAATTTTGTTCGAACTTTTAAGTGCGGTGTCATGGTGATCATTTTTAAATTAGTTAGTGTTTCTGATAATTTCATGAGTTTACTACATCGTAATTACTGTAAATTAGCTCATTCTGCGTAGATCATATTAATAATGAATAAGAAATTATGACATCCGGACGTCCAACACCTCATGACCAGTACGTCGGGAAATAATATTTAAAAGTAAAAAAGCTACAAATCCGTAAATATAGTTTTTCAAGTTTTTAATAGTTAGTTTTTCATTTATTCCAGCCCGTCATTAAACAAACTAGAGAATCCGGAAATTATGGACATGCATGCACTTAATCGTTAAGTGTCATATTACCACAGAGTAGGGATAAACATTGGTAACCTAAAACAGAAATTGAAATATACTATCTGACACCAATATTAAAAAACAAACATTAGTTTTAATTTTTACTTACCTCATCAGACGAATGCCAACCACTGTCTATATTAATGAAAGATTCAAACAAAAACAATTTAATTTACGCTATACAGCGCTGTAGCTATTTTTTGCAAGGTCATTGTCGTAGCCGTCCGAGTTGCCTCGAAGTGCGGGCCCGACTGAAAACCGGTGTCGGGATCAGTATCTCGACTATTACCGAGTCCCGTCCGATTCACGGTCTTATGCCGCTACACATACCGTCACATGTTGTTGTTTGCTTATTTTTATGTTTACATTTATTTTAAGTTTCTGTGTAGGTACATTATTATTTTTAAGTTTTGTATGTATTCATTTAAGACCGTGAATAAACGTTTCTTCTTCTTCTTCAATGGTTACGCACATGTTGTCAGTAACACTCGGCAACATCCATCACATAGAATGCATTTATTGCTTAAGAATCGTTCGTTGAATTGAGCTCAATGAGTAATGGCATTTTGTTTATTGCAGGTAATGTCGGAGGCACAGAGCGAGCCGCAACTCATAAGTGTTATTTAATTTTCCATTTCTGTTGCGTTATTCGCGTGATAAAAACAATACTAGCCACGATTATGGCGAAAAGATTATCCGATAGCGCTCGTTATGTCTTAGTTATGTGCCGGTGTGCGTATCGCCCGGTGCCGGCGAGTGTGGGTACGCTCCGTGAATTTCTAATGGAAATTCATCGCCTATGTATGTACTAAAGCACGCGTTTTAATTGATATCCGGCCCACTTTGGACTACGACTATTTATGTGTGTATTTGTATATGGCAGTTTCACACAGCTTAAGGTAATTACTAACCCATTAGGAAAATTTTAATGTAATTAAGTATATCAATTCTTTTCTATTTTATATCGTCATTTTATAGGAAGGTGTATTATTATAACATACCTACGTTATAATTACGTTATAATTGTTTGATTGTGTGGATATTGGTGGGAACTTTATATCGATACAATAGATGAATATTCTGCCTTCGTTCAGCAGTGAACTCTCAAACAGGCTGAAATGATGATGATGATGACAATGAGCAACAGCACAAAAAATAAACCTTGTAATATTTATTAGTAGCCTACGTTTTGCGGACGTACTTTTGTATAAGCAAAAGCCAAAGCAACAAGTCTTTTTCGTGCGAAGCCGCTCAGACAGGTGTGCATGTCCGTCCGTATGTAACTATGTAGTGACAGATAGTATATAGAAATCAAGTGTCGCAGCCCCGGCCGTGTTTTCGTCTCGTTCCCTCTGAAGCTCTATCGCTCGTACACCGCTAGTGATTCATGCGCGCCTGGTACCGAGAAAACTGGCGTGCCTTGAACCTTGGCCACATTTTTATAGTTAGTTTCGTTTCACATTTTTTTAGTTTATTCACAACCGGCGGCTATAACTAACTAGCATTGAATTTGAGCTTACGAAGAAATTAATAGTAACTTTGCTAAAAAAAAAATAACAAAAAGAACAAGACCGCAGAGTTTCCTGCCGGTTCTTCTCAATAAGAGCTTAAGTTAGGCCTATATTGAATAAAAAATATACTTTGACTTTGACTTAGCTAAGGTACCATCTGCTTCTGTTTCACTGCATCCAACATAGAGCTATTCGAATCTTCGACGACCAAATCCTCGCCGCTGTCCTCGATCTAGCCATGCGAAAAACAATTATATCTCTTAACATTGAAGTTTTACCACGGTACGACGCACTGGCATTTAAACATATAGTCTACCAGTAGACTATACGTTTTAAACATTAACACTACATTTAACGTATAGACTACCGTGTAGTCTACCACTGCGCACTTTTCACGGATTTTCTCCTGCCACGCATGAATATTTTGTGGACATGATTTTGTTCGTTCAAGGAGAGAGCCTATTTATTGCTTTTTTGAGTAAGAAGGTAGCCAACGAGCTGGTGGTCCACCTGATGTTTGACAGAATAACCGCCTCCTATTGACATTAGCATCACCCGTAGGGTTGCAGATTCGTTTGAATAAAGTGGGCCCCGGCTACCTCAGTCACCAGACAAAATGCAGAAGTATAACACTTACACTTCACGCAAGGTTGGGTTACTTACCAAGGCGGACCTGTCCATTCGAGCAACAGAGAAGTATGTTGCTTGGCCCTATCACAGTTGGCTACTTTAAACGTTGGCAACGCATTTACAATTCATCTGCTGTTCGCTGCCCACGCCCATCCGCGGTCTTGATCATTTGTCATCAAGTGACGCCTCTTGCTCGTTTGCATCCTTTTCCATAAGAAAAACATATTTATAATTTATAGCTAAGACAATTCTTGCTTGTTCGTTTTATATTCCATACCGCTTGATTTTTGATATTTCCAGTTCGAGATCTGTCGTGATCGCGTTCAAGGTTCCACAGGCATGTATAGCAGTTAGCCAAAACGAACGCACGTAGAGAATCTGATTTTATGGCTTGTGTTCTGGAACTTTTAATATATAACACAATGAGCCCTTTTGCCGACCGCAGACGAAATGTGATAACGATGAATAGAAAACCATGGTGGAAGCATATTCCAGGGTTTAGCTTAACAATACTAAAATGATAAAAAAGGTCGGAAAGTGGAATCTCGGAACTCGATAAACAACAAAAACGAAATGGCGTCGAAGGTCGCATTGTCTAGTGAAATACAAACGCAATTGAATCATTTAGTCTGAAGCTTGAGTCTAGAAAAATTTCCTCCAAGAATATTACAAAAGATTCTTAAGACCTGGCATATCAATTACTGCAGTTAAGAAGAAGCACAGAGTTGTGAGTTGACCAGTACACTCATTTTTGGCGGCAAAGCTCGTCTGCACAGCGCATCTTCTGTCGCCCTTTGTAGCAGAGGCACCAATAAACTTACTTAAACCTCTAAAGCGTCAACAGTGCATTGATGATAATGGACACATACAAATATTTTCTTTTAAAACTTGAAAGAATTCAAATAGTTACGCCTACGTAAATTAATAATCACCTCAAGTCATTCCCGTTTGTCTAGATGTTTCTTAAAACAAAGCACCTATCCCAGAATTCATGAAACCTCATGAATATATTCAATTTTTTTTCACAACCAACAAGAAAGATTTCTCGTCTACAAACAAGTAGGTACTTCCTTTGTTTGGAAACAGAAATTCCGCATGCATATTTAACATCAGAAGTAGGACTTCAGGCTCCCGAGAGCAATGATTTACGAATAAAATGCATACCTTTTTTGAAAAAACTTTCCACTCCGAAAGTTTATCTTTAGTTTTGTACATACCTCATGAGTTAAGGCATTATTACTTAGTTTAAAACACTTTTGTAGGGTTTCTCTAAGCCTGTATAATACTCATATTTCACGCTGATCTTCTGCCCAGTGCTAAATAGAAGTATCATATCCTTTTTCATTTCGTCTGGTCAATGAGGTAACCTAAGTCCGCTGTTTTCAATGGGTGGCTGTTTTGCGGCTGGCCTGTCCGTCGGATCATTTTAATTTTTATACAAGTACATTTTTATTAACAAAAAACAAAACCAACTTCAAATATGTCACTAGATTACAATTTCTATTAGAGGTTGAAGAGTTTTCTGATGTACATCCGGATACAAAAATGTCCAATATCAGTCAAATTAATTTGGAACCACATTAAGCCCACTAAAACCGAACTGTCGAAACCGGTTACTATTGTTATAATCGGAACTGATTGTAGCGAGCTAGAGACAGAACGACACCCAAAGTCGAGGCTTGATCTAATTAAAACATTTTTCCTTGTTAAGAGGAATAGCGGACAAGCGAAATAAACACATGTTAATTCATTTGAGCAGTCAATTGGCACCCGCATGTGGTCCTGCGCCATAGGACGGGTTGAATGCATTAACACGGGTTATACCC